AAGCATTAACAGCCAAAATATTTATTTATTTATTTATAAGGGGCTAACAGATTAAATTTATGGGCTAGCAATAATGTTGAGCAATGGCAACTTGGGCCTTCAGCTCGAGTTGTACATAATATTTTTAGGATTTCTTATAAGTATTTATTTATATGATCGACGTGGGGTTTGAAAGTGCTTCCAGTGGGTTGGTGTTTTGAAACATTTGTTGTCTTTGGATGTTAAGCGCGTTGCAGGGGGAAAGTAAGTGTGTTATTGTTACAGTATCGTTGCAGAAAGGGCAAGCGTTGTTGTGGTTTGGATCGATGTAGTGTGTGTGGGTTAATTTGGTGTGTCCAAGTCTGAGTCTTCTTATTTTTATTTGGCCAAGACGTGAGATGGCTGGGTGGTTGTTTTTGGTGATGTGGTAGCTGTTGAGTTGGAGTTGGTTAATTGATTGGTACCAAGTTGATGTCTTCGTTATGTTTGATAGTTTTTTTTTTTTGTGAGTATTTTTTATATATTTTTGTATGTCTTTTGTGTTTAGATTTTCAACCGTTAGAAGTGGTAGCGTGGTTGCGTTTTTGGCTAGGGTGTCCGCCAGTTCGTTACCTGGTATACCTACGTGGCCGGGTATCCAAATTAGTTTGAATTTAGATTCGAATTTTTGGAGCAGGTTTCGTGCGTGTGAGTTGTGGTGTTTGCTGTTGTTCGGATTTTTTATTGCATCGATTGCAGAGAGGGAGTCGGAGCATATGCAAAATTTTCCTCTTCTATTTTTTAGCAGTTAGATTCCCTCTATTATTGCTAGAAGCTCGGCGGAGAATACTGAGGAGTAACGTGGCAAAAGGACTAATTTTATGACTTCTGTTTCGAGATCCATCTGTATAAATGTAGTTGAATTTGTGATAGTGTCCGAAAAGTTTGTGGTGTTGTGTTTTTTTGTTGTACGTGCTTAATGTTGTGACAATTTTTAAAATATCAGTGTTCCAGGGTGGTGTGGTCTGTGAGTGTTGACTAGTCAGCTTAAGTGGGAGATTATGTGCTTCGGATTTTTCTATAATGCGGTCTATTTTTGATTTGTATTGTGATCGCTTTGGGGGTCGGTATGATTTAAGGATTTTTATTAATGGGGAGTTTTTGGCATTCATCAAGGATTTGATTATTTTTGTTGTTAGGAGGTCACGTCTGTCTTCTAGAGTCTGCGCGTGCTTCGTACAAGATGTTGTTAATAGGTGTAGTTTGAATTGCGCCAAGAGCAGTTCTGAAAGCGGAGTTTATTGTTGCTTTTACCTTCCGTAGGTTTGTTTGTGGGCAATATCCGTAGATTGGGAGACCGTAGTCAGCTTTTGCGGTGATAGTTGCTTTTGTGACGTTTAGAAGTGTGGATGTGTTGCAGTTGAATTTTGGGCGTGAGAGGCATTTTTTTATGTTTATTGATTGTTTGAGGTTGTGTGAGAGTTGTTCTGTGTGTGTTTTCCACCTGTATTTGTTATTGAAATGTACGCCGAGCATTTTAAGTGATGTTACGTTTTGTATTTGTATGTTACCAGTGGATAGGGTGCAGTTGCAGTTGTGTTTTCTGCAAACGTGCAAGTGTTTGCATTTTGTGGTTGAAAGCTGGGCGTTTGATTAATCGGTCCAATCTAGTATGATAGTAATAATGGGGTTGAGGTTTGTGTTTATGTTTTTTCAGTTTTTTAGTTTTACAATCAAGTTAAAGTCATCTGCATATGCGCTTAGACTAATATTGCGATGAAGGGTGAGTTTTGCTGCGAGTTAGATGTATGCTATAAAAAAGAGGATCACGGAAAGTGGAGAGCCTTGAGGTATGCCGTTTTGGATGGATTGAAAGGAAGAAAGGTCATAGTTGATACGTACTATTATTTTTCTATTTGTCATATAATTTTTTATGTAGTTGGTTATTTTTGGTCCTGTTTTCCAAATGGCAAGTTGGTTGAGTATGGAGTGGATTCCAATTCTGTCGAAGGCTTTTGCGAAATCTAGGGATATGATGGAAGTATGGTTTCTTCTTGAGATAGCTCTTGCTAATAGATTGTCTACGGGCAGTAGACTGTCCATAGCTGACTTATCTTTTCGGAAACCAGTTTAGCTGTTTTGGATGAGTTTGTCGTTTAATACAAACCACCACAGTCGTTTGGCAATAATTTTGTCCAGAATTTTTGAAAGGCATGAGGTAAGTTAGACTGGACAATACTTTATGAGTTTAGGTTGGTTTTGTCTCAGTTTGGTTTTAAAATTGGTACTATTAGGCTATTTTTGTAGGTTTGTGGGATATAGTTGTTGAGGATTGTGTTTTGTAGGCTTGTAGTATTTTTTGTAGTAATATCTATGTTTTTGATCATAGCGTAGTTAATTCTGTCCAGTCCTGGTGTATTTCCTTTTAGTGTGTTTAAAGCTGCTGAAAATTCTATTGAAGTTATGGGCTTTTCTATTTCTTTTGCTCTTTTACAGGGAGTGTTTTTTTTTTTTTTTTTGTATACTTTGCTTTATTAATCTCGACAACAATTAACATACTTAACATAAATATGTTATGCCAAAACGCTTCAGGTATTGCCGGAAGCAGCCATGTCCACTCAAGACCTGGGTCAGGTAGAAGTCGACCTGCTCGTGGCTTCGCAGCACCCACCTTCTAAGGCTAGGAATGAGGGTGTGTGTCCATCGTCCCTTCGTCGACGCGTCCCAGCAATCCTGCCAGGCTGTGAGCGACCTCTCCTTGGCGTCCTCCCTTGCAGCTGTATTGGGGGTGCCGCCGGCACCCTCATTGCGAGCACGGGTTTCCTTAAGCTCCTTGAGCTCTCGAGCGCGCTCCTTCAGCGGGACCATCCCCGCAATGACCAGAATGGCGTCGTCGGAGACTGTCCTGAAGCCGGTCGCGACTCTTATAGCACCCAGCCTGTAAACTGCATCTACCCCTCTCCTGTAGCTGGGCATATTCATCGCCTCAGCCCAGATGGGCGCTGCATACAAAATTTGCGCCGAGGCAACGCTAACGAGGAGCCTTCTCCTGTTCTGCTTGGGGACTCTGGTGTTTAGAAGGATCCTGGCAAGGCTCCTGGTAGTGGCTGCAGCCTTGCCCTGGATATAATCAAGGTGCTCGCCGGGAAGGAGAGCCGGGCGTCGGTCATCACGCCCAGGTATTTTATGGCCCACTGGGAGGTTATGGCCATTCCACCAACCCGGATTGTCGCCGTTTCCAGCACCTTGCGGCTGCTGACCAGCACCGCTTCGGTCTTTTGCGGGGCTAGGCTTAGACCGGCATTTTGGAGCCACATCTCCATTGTCTCGATTGCCTTGTTCGCCGTTCTCTCCGCTTCCTCCCTGTGCTTGGTCACTATCACCAACGCTACGTCGTCTGCGAAGCCGACGATGTCGCATTCCGCTGGGAGCTGCAGCCTCAGGATTCCGTCATACATGGCGTTCCACAGCAGCGATCCTAGGACCGATCCTTGCGGCACACCCGCCGTAACGTCGTAGGACTCCGTGCCCATGTCCGTGTCGACCAGTAGCACTCTGCAGCTAAAGTAGCTACTGACGACGTTCATTATGGCACTGGGAACGTTGAACCCCCTTAGGGCTGCCAGTGTTTTGCCCCAGTCCGCCGTATTGAAGGCGTTCCTGATGTCCAGGGTGACTATCAGGCAGTATTGCTTGGAGCCACCTTTCCACCTGGTTCCCGTTATTGCGTTGCGAGCAATGCCGACCACCTCTGCTATGGTCCTCTCCTCTCTTGGTTTCCCTGGTTTGAGGAGCAGCAGGAGCTTCTGTACCTTCCACCGGGTGGGAAAAGTGCCTTCGCGGATACATTTATTGTAGAGTTCCGCAAAGCTGCCCGGCTGCGGGTCCGTGGGGGACTGGTTTCCTGCGCGCAGCCTATTCACCACTATCCGGTACGCGTTGCCCCATGGATTTTCCTCCGCCGAGTCGCATAGTTCCAGGAAGCATTTCCTTTTGCTGTGTCGGATGGCCACCTTCAATGCTTGGCGTCGGTCCTTGAAGGCTAGGTGCCGCTCCTCAAAGGCGTCGGTGCCTCTCGCGCGCTGCATAAGCCTCCTTGCTCTCATGCACTCAGCTCGGATGGAGCCAATCTCGTCGCTCCACCAGTAAACGGGAGCGTGGTTCCTACGGTAGCGGCTTCTCCGCTGCATGCGCGCCGTGCACGCTGCCTCTAGCTTAGCAGCCAGGGTATCAGCCATTTCGTTGGCTCCGCTTGGTAAGACGTTGCCGATGTTGCGCGCTGCCTCGGTGAAGTTCCTCGCCTGAAGCGTACCGACTCTGTAGCCTCCTGGTTTCGGATCCCTCGGTCGTTCTTGAGGGTTACCAATTGAGCAAAAATATTGCTTCGTGGTCGCTGGCCGTAAAGCTGCCTCTTATCCTCCAGTTAGCGCCAGTCGCTAGCGAGGGGCTTGCGAACGTCAGGTCTATGATGGAACCTGCTCCGGCTCTGCTGAAGGTGTGCTGGTTTCCTTCGTTCAGCAGGACGAGATCGAGTGTGGCAAAGGTTTCTCTGACCACTCTTCCTCTCGCATTCGTCCTCGGGCAGCCCCAGTCCTGCGCCCATGCGTTGAAGTCCCCTGCTACAAGGACGTCAGAACGGCCTCTGATATCATTTCCTAGGCAGTCCATCATGCGCTCAAACTCATTGATGGTTAGGCTTGGTGCCATGTAGCAGCTGTAAAGCCATGCCCCACCTATCCGAGCCCTTACAAATCCCTCCGCTCTGTACACAGAGTGCATTGTCGCGCCGGTTGCGCCGCAGCTCCAGATGGCAGTCTTCCCCGATAGGTCGACTGTCCAGCGGTTGTCTGAGCCAGTCCTATGGGGCTCGCATAGGAGCGCTATGTCCGCCTTCGTCTCCCTCGCAGTCTGCGAAAGCACATCTTGGGCCGCCCTACAGTGGTTCAGGTTCAGCTGAAGCACTAACATCCTGTCGTCCTAGGTCCACCTCCTTTCGCTGACATGGGGCAACTTCTGCTTCCAGTCTGATGCCTCACATCCTTCGAAGCATCAAGGGTCCTTTTTGCAGGTGACCGCCCTGTGGTCCGTGTCTCCGCAGCGGAAGCCACAGCCGCTCCTGTCCTTCGAGCTCTTGCAAGCGCTTGCGATGTGCCCCATCCCAAGACACCTGTAGCAGCGAGCCACGACCTCCTTTTCCCTCATATGGCATACTGACCACCCAACCTTCACCTTGCCCACAGCAATGATGGCCTTGGCAAGGCTCGCGGGGAAAGCCACGATAGCGGTCTGCGTCTCGCCATAACTGCTTCTCAGCTTCTTGACTTTCAAGGCGCCTTGGTCCACCGCTGCCTGCTGCGCGATAGCCCCGATGATGTCCTCCGAAGTAGCTAGTGCGTCGAGTCTTCGTAGCTCGACGAGTGACTCCTTGGTCTCCTCCGAGTACGCCCGCACCTCTTCCTTGCTCCCTAGGACCTCCTCGATGCAACCTTTAAGGGTCTGTGTGGAACCTTTAAGGGCCTTCCTGGCCAATTCCAGTAGCAGCCCGCCCTTGGCTGTCTTCCTCACTCTCTTGACGCAAGGGCCAAGAGCGTCTAGCTTCCCGTCCTCCCTGCGAGTTACCATGCTTTGGATCTGACTGTACGTCATGCCTGCTGCTTGGATCACTATGGCGTCGGGTCTGGCTCGTCTCCTCTCGGGATTTCTAGGCTTGGCCTTCGTCCACTCAGACCTTCTCCTGCTTGCTTCGCCGTCGCTTCCTTTGTCGGTAGCCGGGTTTGCAACAGCTGGCTTGGGCCTAGCCGTCGTGTTGGCCGTTGCTACTTTGGCCCCCGAGTCCCGGTGTGCACTCTTGGGGCCCGTGCTGTTAGGGATGCTGCCGGTCTGCACAGCCTGGTCCTGGGTCCAGACCTCCGTCGGAAGGGTCTGCTGCTCCTTCTCCACGGTATCGATGCCGGCTCTCTCGCATCTGGGGCACACTGGCTTGGGCGTGATGACCGGTCGCGCATGCTCCTCTGGAACACTTCCGACCAGAATAGAGTGGATGTCCTTCAGTCTGGTTATCAGGTTCCTTTGCATTGCGGAAATATGCCTCTTTTTTTTCCGTGCCCAGCTCCGTCAGGCATTCTTCGCTTCTTGCCGGCGGGCTGCCAGCCTTATTTTTCTTTGGGGGAAGAAAAGTGTAGTTTGCAGGAAGTGTACGATAGGTTGTGTGAGTTGCTGATTGAAGTTTGTTTATGGTTTATAAATGATGTTTTGAAGTTTAAGTCGGATGAAATTTCTGAAAAATGTTTGCAAAATAAGTCTGCGATTTCTAATTTGTGGGTGGTGTTTTGATTTGTGGTTGGGTTAAATATGCAGTGTATGTGTTTTTGTGGGTTGAGTCCGCAAAAGCGTCGGATGTTACTCCAGATTGTTTTTGGCGGTGTTTCGCGTGAGATTTGTGTAGTAAAATTGTTTATATTTCGTTTTTATACCCTTGCAGAGGGTATTATAATTTTGTCCAAAAGTGTGCAACGCAGTGAAGGAGACATCTCCGACCCTATAAAGTATATATATTCTTGATCAGGATCACCTCCTGAGTTGATATGAGCATGTCCGTCTGTCCGTCTGTCCGTCTGTCTGTCTGTCTGTTTCTACGCGAACTAGTCTCTCAGTTTTAAAGCTATCGACTTGAAACTTTGCACACACCCTTCTTTCCTTTGCACGCAGTATATAAGTCGGAACGGCCGGGATCGGTCGACTATATCCTATAGCTGCCATATAACTGATTGATCGGAAATGGTATAACTTTGGTGTTTTTAGAGTTAGAGAGTTCAAATTTGACACGAGAGCTATTTTTAGCAAAACATTACGACATGCCAAATTTCATAAGGATCGGACGACTATATCCTATAGCTGCCATATAACTGAACGATCGGAAATGACCCAACTTTCGTGTTTTTGAAGATAGAAAGCTGGAATTTAATACAGATTCTATTTTTGGTCAGTTGACCCAACCTACCAAATTTCATTAGGATCGGCCGACTATATCCCATAGCTGCCATATAACTGAACGATCGGAAATGGTATTTGGTAGAAATATCAACTTTCGTATTTTTGAAGATAGAAGTTTGGGACTTTTTTTAGATTTTGTATTGTAATAAATTGGATTATATTTTCCTATTTCCATAAGGATCGGCCAACTATATCCGATGTTTGCGATATATATCCGGTTTTAACTGCAAGGGTATATAAACTTCGGCTCCGCCCGAAGTTAGCTTTCCTTTCTTGTTTTTTCTTGTTTTAATATTAGTCTAAATAGGCCGTTAGCTTTTTTGTACTTTAGAATGTTTTCTGTAGATATGTGTCTTTTTAATTCGTTCCATTTCTTCATTTTGTCGTCTCTCAATTGGCTAAGTTTGCTATTCCACCATGGTACATTTTGGGGCTTTTTTGTAGGGTGTGTCTGGGGTATAGCCTTATGAGCGCTGGAGATGATGATTGTGTGAATTGTTGTGGCTTCCTTGTTTATGTTTGTGCTTGGTTTTCTCTGTGTGGAGTATACTTCAGTGAGCTTGCAGAATTTTTGGCCAGTTTGCATTGTCGGTTAAAAAAGATGGTTTGCGTGAAGTGACTTGGAGGCTCGTTGTGTTGGAGGTGAAAAGGTTGGTTATTATGGGGAAGTGATGCTGCCAAAAAGATTATCTTCGGTGTGCCAAAGCTGTCGATTTGAAGAATTCGGCTGCTGAAGGTTAGGTCGACGTTTGTTAGTGTGTTGTGTGTGCTAAAGTGAGTAGGTGACATGTCGTTTAGTGGTATGTAGTTTGATTGAGTTATGAATTTATCTAATGTTTTTCCTCTTGCGTTGTTTTGATTTGAGCCCCAGTTTTTGTGCCAACCGTTAAAGTCGCCAGTGATCAATGTGGGTATATGTGAGGTGTCTAATACGGCCTGAAGGTTTTGCAGTGAGAAAGATTTTTTAGGAGCTATGTATGCTGAGATAATTCTGAATTTAAGTTTGGAGCTCAGTTCTATGCATACTGCATCGAAATCGTCTCTAAGGATTGTCTCTCGGGCTTGTAGTGACCTGTGGGCTAGGAGACCTACGCCACCGTGGGAAGATGAGGTGTTTTTTGAAATAAGGGTGTAATTTATGGGTATGGGAATGGTATTAGTGAATTTTTATACCCTTGCAGAGGGTATTATAATTTTGGTCAAAAGTGTGCAACGCAGTGAAGGAGACATCTCCGACCCTATAAAGTATATATATTCTTGATCAGGATCACCTCCTGAGTTGATATGAGCATGTCCGCCTGTCCGTCTGTCTGTTTCTACGCAAACTAGTCTCTCAGTTTTAAAGCTTTCGACTGGAAACTTTGCACACACCCTTCTTTACTTTGCACGCAGTATATAAGTCGGAACGACCGGAATCAGCCGACTATATACTATAACTTCTGTGTTTTTAGAGTTAGATAGTTCAGATGAGCACTATCTTTGGCAAAATAATACGACAAGCCAAATTCCGTAAGTATCGGCCGACTATATCCTATAGCTGCCATATAACTGAACGATCGGAAATGACCCAACTTTCGTGTTTTTGAAGATAGAAAGCTGGAACTTGGTACAGATTATATTTTTGGTCAGTTGATCTAACCTACCAAATTTCGTAGTTGGTTGGTAGTTAGTTGGTTACTATGGGTACTCTGTTTTTTTATAACTGATGCTACAAGTGTTAAGTGCTTTCAGAATTCCTTATGTTATTAATGTGTTTGTTTTTTTTTACGTTTTGGTTGGTTTGTTTTGGTATGTCTTAGGTTGGTCGCTAGTGTCTTTTGTCCTTTTGAAAAATTCGTAGTTTTAGGTCTTGGGTCCTTTCGCATGGTGCTGGTGGTGCTTGAAGTGCTGGGGAGGTCGATATCCATGTTGGAGATTTCAGTATTTTGATGAGCGGGTGAAGTTAGTGGTGTTGTGATGTTTGCAATTGGAGTAGGTGTGTGATGGTCATTAGGGAGGTCATGATATGTTTGTTATACCCTTGCAGAGGGTATTATAATTTTGGTCAAAAGTGTGCAACGCAGTGAAGAAGACATCTCCGACCCTATAAAGTATATATATTCTTGATCAGGATCACCTCCTGAGTTGATATGAGCATGTCCGTCTGTCCGTCTGTCTGTCTGTCCGTCTGTCTGTTTCTACGCGAACTAGTCTCTCAGTTTTAAAGCTATCGACTTGAATATTTGCACACACCCTTCTTTCTTTTGCACGCAGTATATAAGTCGGATCGGCCGACTATATCCTATAGCTGCCATATAACTGATTGATCGGATATGGTATAACTTCGGTGTTTTTAGAGTTAGAGAGTTCAAATTTCACATGAGCGCTATTTTTGGCAAAATAATACGACATGCCGTAATTTCGTAAGTATTGGCCGACTATATCCTATAGCTGCCATATATCTGAACGATCGGAAATGACCCAACTTTCGTGTTTTTGAAGATAGAAAGCTGGAACTTGGTACAGATTATATTTTTGGTCAGTTTATCCGACTTACCGAATTTCATAACGATCGGCCGACTATATCTTATAGCTGCCATATAGCTGAACGATCGGAAATGGTTTTTGGTAGAAATACCAACTTTGGTATGTTTGAAGATGGAAGCTTGGGACTTTTTTTTAGATTTTGTATTGTAATAAGTTGGATTATATATTCATATTCCCATAAGGAGCGGCCAACTATATCGGATGTTTGCGATATATATCCGGTTTTAACTGCAAGGTTATATACACTTGGGCTCCGCCCGAAGTTAGCTTTCCTTTCTTGTTTTCTTTGATGTTGTTTCTGTGATGTCGGCGTGTCTTTATTTTGGTTTGTGTATTGGGGTGTGGGTGTTGTTATACCCTTGCAGAGGGTATTATAATTTTGTCCAAAAGTGTGCAACGCAGTGAAGGAGACATCTCCGACCCTATAAAGTATATATATTCTTGATCAGGATTCCCTCCTGAGTTGATATGAGCATGACCGTCTGTCCGGCTGTCTGTCCGTCTGTCTGTCCGTTTCTACGCGAACTAGTCTCTCAGTTTTGAAGCTATCGTCTTGAAACTTTGCACACACCCTTCTTTCCTTTGCACGCAGTGTATAAGTCGGAACGGCCCGGATCGGCCGACTATATCCTATAGCTGCCATATAACTGATTGATCGGAACTGGTATATCTTTGGTGTTTTTAGAGTTAGAGAGTTCAAATTTGACACGAGATCAAATTTTTGGCAAATTATTACGACATGCCAAATTTCATAAGGATCGGCCGACTATATCTTATAGCTGCCATATAACTGAACGATCGGAAATGACCCAACTTTCGTGTTTTTGAAGATAAAAAGCTGAAACTTAATACAGATTTTATTTTTGGGCAGTTGATCCAACCACCAAATTTCATTAGGATCGGCCGACTATATCATATAGCTGCCATACAACTGAACGATCGGAAATGACCCAACTTTCGTATTTTCGAAGATAGAAGTTTGGGACTTTTTTTAGATTTTGTATTGTATTAAATTGGATTATATATTTCTATTCCCATAGGGAGCGGCCAACTATATCCGATGTTTACGATATATATTCGGTTTTAACTGCAAGGGTATATACACTTCGGCTCCGCCCGAAGTTAGCTTTCCTTTCTTGTTATTTTGTTTGTTATTGTTTTGTCGGTGTGCGGTTTGGATACAATAGATGCAAAGCTGGTGCTGAGCTGTTGGTTGTGACGAGAGTAGTTAATTTCTAGTGATGTTTTGTGGTCGACTTTTTGTATAGTTTTAATTGTTATTAGTTCTTTTTGTTTTATAAATGAGGGGCAACTGCGGTCTAGTGGGCTATGTTTTGAATCTGCATCGAATAGGTTTTTGCAGTTAATGCAGTTTTTTTCGTTGTTGCATGACTCGTTTTCTTCTGTGTGGGTTGTCTCGGAGCAGTTCTTGCAAAGCTCTGTGGGGCTTTTGCAGATTGGTGTCGGGTGTCCAAATCTTAGGCATTTTTGGCATCTTAGTGGACGTGGAATATATGGGCGTAGATGAACTTTTTCGTATCCAACGTTTAGGGATTCTGGGAGTGTATGGGTTTGGAAAGTTATTATAATTAACCCAGTTTCTACCAATGATTGGATTTATTTTTTTAGAATTTTACGAACTTTTTTTTTTTTTTATTATTATAGCTTTGCTTTTATTTATTGAATCTACTCTTAATTTTGAGACTAA